TCATTTATATGGTAGTTACGAGGATTAAAAAAAAGCCTGTCGATAATTCCTTGATAGACAATTCCTTGATTGATGACATAGTTCTTTAGCTCTCTTACATTTTCTTTGAAGATCAATCATGTAATGAACCACATGAGTTCTTTACAACTTGTTCTTCATATTGTTGCTATCTCTTCCACACAACCCTAATACACCTCCCAGTAATTTTTGTGATAATTCTATCATTCTTCATTGTATACATCGATCTTGCTTGACAAAAACATGTTATTTTTAAGTTGAGATTTAGACACAAACACTGTGAACACCTTTAGCGCAATTTTTTTTTTTGCAAGTTTATTCTTTTCGTCACAAAGCAGTAGTTTAGATATTTGTCTTTGAAGCCATATACTTTAGCGCAAATAGAAACAAAATGGAAAATAGATAAATTCATGATGATTATACAAACTTCAAGAGTTGAGATGAAGTGAAGTTCATAAGAAGACTGGCAACATAATAAATAGATAGTGTTAAATATAAAAAAAGTGTTTTTCAGTTAATTTATAATATAATGGACAGTAACATAATTTTCTCAACTGATTAAACATACCTTTATTATCATATATTAGGCTTTGATTGCGTTAAAAAACACTCTTGATAATGTAAAAACAAGGTGAAAATATATATTCCAACTCAATAACGATTCACTTATTATCAATAACAGATAACATAATCATCCTTGGCTTTAATTTATTTAAAATCTGCTAAGATGAAAACATTCATTCCAATTTACAACATATTAACGTATTATCAATCATTATTTGATTGCTTCAAATTTTACTACCAATATCACTAAAGTTGACATATTTACTCCAATTTATCAAAGATTCAAATTTTTTCAATATTTTGGCTTTGATTGCTTTGTAAAACGTGAAAGAAGTGATTGAATTACTATAAAATATATTCACAGATTTATCCCCTAAAGTCGAAGTTTCTTCATAAATCATACATGAACAATAAAATAATAATTGATCAAGTTATATGATTATTTAATTATTATAAACATTTTTTCATTAAAATTTGTGGATTTTTTCGAATAAATTTAACAAAATTTTCTAACACATACATATGCAAATCACTGTTAAATTGCTGTAATATGTGATTATAATGTAATAATTACTTTAAAACGAAATAAAATTGAAGAAAAAAATTTACATCAGTCCATTTATGATATTATATCATAAATTTAGTCACTTCATTCGAATTTTTTTCAAATCAATTTCTTGAGAGAAGTTTTCTTTAAATACTCAAAATGAAAGGAAACAGAATATCGAATCATATAAATTTCAGTTAAATCACATAGAAGCTTGATTTTAATAGAAAATTAAACCTCTATACTTAATTTTTTCCAAAAAAGATGTTAAAAAACGAACATTAAATTCATGATTTTTTTTTACAAAAGTCACAAAAAATATGATTGGAAAAAAATATCAATTTCGCATAAAAATCCTGGATTTAAAATCATAAACCCCACATAAAAATCTTAGCCAGGAAATCATTGATTCCAAAATAAAATTAAATCTTGATACAAAATACAAAAATTATGCAATCCTTTTCTATAACATATCAAACGTTGATAATTTATGAAATGTCTGAGCATATTTTATCTCCGATGATTACTATAAATATATTTCATTAAAAATTACTATAAGATCAAAATATCTTCAAAAATACATAATAAGTAAATAATTTACACCATACTTTACATTTATTCAAATGTAATAATTACTTGATGAAAGTATGATGATTGTGTATCAATGTAGTTTGTTTTAAGTTTGTAATATCATTTATATAATCTATTATGTTTACGATTTTTCAAACTGTTAAAATTTTATCCAAGTTATGATTTATTCTTGTTATTTTGATTAATTTAGGTCAAATATGTTGTAAAACGTATATGATCGTAAATGTTAATTATTACTTTTAGTTATGCAAAGATAAAATATTTCATAAAATTATTATGTTTTTGTGAAATTAATTTTCAAACAGATAATCATCAAAATTCCGTGATGTTGAATTCATGATCATTTATTGCATTTTTGTGCACAAATTTTTGCTAATTTTTCTAATAGAAATGGTTTACGGCAGACTCAAACTATGAGACTGAGGTAGATTAAGCTACAAAAGGAATCATTCATAGATAAATTGATCGGTCTGGTTAGAACAGTCATTCTAAAATTTGGCATTTTCTTTTTAGATGTCAGAATTGCCAAGATTAATTTGGTCAATTTGCCATGATTAAACTGGCCAAAATTCCATACATTATATATTTGGAATTTTGCCAGATTGGCCAGGAAGAGGGAAGTTTTGTGAGCAATGCTCCCAAAACAGACCGTGTATGCATGCATTTGACTTTGGTGAATTGCAGATCGCAAACCTTAGTGTGTTTCTAAGTTTACACTAAGTTCCGACTAGGTGCCCACATTTTTGGTCGTACTAACTCAACAGTGGAGAGAAAATTGCGCGTGAAAGAAATAGAAGAAGTAGGAAAAATACAATTCCCGTAGATTTTTTAATATTCTTTCCATTTTCTTACTTTCATTTCATTCTGAAGCATGTTCGTTTTGATCATTGTGAATATTTTCTTGGGTTGAATAGAAGGGCCCAAAAATATTTCATTGTTTTTCTTTCAGCTTTTTTACTTTCATGTTATTTCTGTAGCATGTTCGTTTTGATCATTGTGAATATTTTCTTGGTTTGAATAGAAGGGCCCAACAATTTTCCATATTTTCTTTCAGCTTTTCTACTTTCATGATATTTCTATAGCATGTTTATTTTGATCATTGTGATTCTTTATTTGCTAGAATGTAAAGGCCGAGGTACATATCATATAATCTGTTAATTCATTTACAAACACCACGTAGTTTGAAATTGACTTCTCCATCATCAAATGGGAGAAAGATGACTCCAGCATGAACCTCTCGTTGGCCAATATCATGACTGCGAAGCAATTCAAAATGATAATCGCTAAGCCATGGAACGAAAAATAATGACAAGACTATGTTAATGCCAAAAATGCCATCAATAAGAAAATTTTTTTCCCAAAATTATCTTTATTCTGGCAAACCTGGCATTTGCCAGAGTTTAGGAAGCCTGGGTTAGAACCTAGCTTTGGCAGCCGCTAGCTCAAGATTGAAATAACTTCAATGGAGATTGGACGCATGAACGTGCGTAGACTGCTCATAGAAGAATCCGCAAAGGACGTCCTTCTTGTATGGAATTTTCATCTGCCTCGAGTGCTCGGGGAAGCATCTTGACTTGGGAGTCACACCAGATTCTTGCGATCTTGGCTTGGTAGTTACATTAGTTTCTTTCAATCCGAGGTCGAGGTTAAGACAATGGAAGTTGGTGGCAGCGCTGCCCTCAACTCCTATATCGACTCAGTACGGTATCCAAGGAGATCCAAGTACAACACAAAGGCCACCGGAATTTTGGAGGGAGACAGAGAGAGATAGTTTCGCTTTGGTGATTCATGAAGCAAACTGAAGCTTGTGAAACGGCCAAAATTAAGATAATTTTCAAAATTATATTACTCATATTTTAAAAACTTAGATGCTCTAGACAAAAGTTGATTAGACAACCAAATTGATATTTTTCGTGGAAAGATTTAGTGAGACAATTACGACATGTAGAACACTGTACCTTGTTAAATTTGAAAATTATTGAAAATAAGTTTAATAAATCTAATAAGTAGTTCTAATGGGACAAGTTTGAAATTCATATATAATAAAGTACCTCGGTAAAGAAAAAGGCCAAAGTTATGGTGAAAAAGGAAGCTAAAGGTCTTTGGCATATATGTACCTCATATCTCGTTAAAGAGATTTCGCACTGTGTTGGCTCATGTGCGCAAGCGTTGGTACTTCTTTTCTCCACATACAATGCTTAAGAAGATACGTGAAATATTAATGCTGTGATGACTGTCACTATAGAAAGCTAGATATCAAATACTTCTAATATGAAAAGGTAGTCGATGAATGTGAACCCTGTAAAGTATCATCAAAAGTACCATCAAACACAAAAGGTTTGTAAACCTAATGAGATTTCATCTGGCCCATGCTAGATATCATCGTTGGATTTGTCTGCACTTTCTTTTTCCAGTGATCTATTTTCCAGGTAGCTTTCCATTAAATGCATCATCGTGGGCTCGCGAACACTTTTCTCTTTTCTCCTGGTCGTACACTATCCATGCAAAGGGATTTCGTCCCGTGCCGCAACGGGCTCGCATGTGGCCATGCAAAGTTACTGGATTCTCCCCTACCCACCACTTCTCTCAGATCACTGATCAACAAATCATCTTAGATACATAAAAAAAAATGTTCTCGCACACCAATTTTCTCATTTAGCTACACGCTGCAGGAGAATGATTTCTGTACGTTTGTCCATTTGGTTGCTGTATATGACATACAGTATGTCACATGGCACGTAGCCACTACGATGACCGCGGAGTATGTCCCCAGCCCCCCACCCGCTGCTTGATTTATGCAAGCACTATAATTTGGCCATAAATATTTCATCGAGTCCTCTTATTATAGAATCGCAAACTGCTCCTCTGGACATAATGTTTTGTCGTGGACCGGCACCTTGTCGTCGGCCGCGTGGCAGGATGGATGGACACACCGCTACTTCGTACCACAGAGTGGCTCCGAATTGCGAGCCGAACGACGTCCATCGGCGGGCGGGCGGGCCGTGGGGAGAGCCGCTGGCTCCTCACGTGGGACGTGAACTCACAGTCGTCATCAGCAGCAGCGGCCTTCACGTCTTCACTCTTTAGGTGGCCCCGTTCCGAGTCTGAAATCTCCCGTCGCGGCCCCGGGCTCACCGTGGATTCACGGAGCCCGATCGCGCGGCAGACGATGTGATCCGACGGCCGCGATCCAGCCCGGGGTCTGCAGCTCTCCCGAGGCGGGGTTCGGCGTTGAGGAGTAGAGGCTATAGATACAAGGAGCTGTTCGCGGCTCTAGATGTGCGATTCCGGATTACGCACTCGAGTGTCGTTTGTAGAGAGGAATCAGAGGAAGAAGTGACGTCGAGCGAGCAGCGACAAGCTCCGCAATTATGGTGGCGAGGACGGCTGGTTCGGACACCGGTGAGCTCACGCACCCGAATCCTCTTCCAGAATGCGCTGCGGGGATGAGATTGGCTCTCGGTTGAATTCCGCTTCTTCAGTTAGATGGTCTGATGATGTGTGTCGTTGATAAAATGTGAAAGTCGTTTCAGCTTCGGAGGAGATGACCGTGGAAGGAATTCGGTGCCCCGAGCAGCGGAGCAGTGAGAGCCGCCGCCCCGACAGCAAGTGCAACTATGTCTACGAGGGTCGGGATTGCTATCCCATGCCCGTGGTTGATTTGCATGGCCTCGAGGACGAGGATCCGCAGATCAGAGCCTCTGTTCTGCGAGAGCTGAAGGAAGCTGCGAAGGTCGGTTGTTTTACGACGGTGAATCATGGCATCGATCCGAAGGTGCTCCTGCAGCTCAGGGAGAACGCCAACGCATTCTTCTCTCTGCCTTCCGAAGACAAGGCCAAGTGCGCCAAGGTCCGCGGCCCCGGGGCCTTACGGGCAGTCGGCTATCAGGGCCAATTTCAAGACCTCACCGAGAAGGCCTTTATCGTGCAGCGCCGGGAAGTTTTCGAGATTCAAGGGTGCCCGCTGGAGGGCCGGGACTCCGTTCCATGGCCCCAGTCATCGCCTTCTTTCAGGTTGGCTGGCAGCATCGCTGCCGGTTTTGAGATTCACCTATGTATAAAATAGCCAAAATTCTTATTCCCATGAAACCAGTTTCTTGATGAATTCAACCGAAGTGAATTTCGTGAAGCATTGCTCTTTTCATTACTCAAACGATTAGAATATGGCCAAACTGCAGAAAGCTGATTTTTCTCGTTAGAATAGCTCGGAGAGATAGCCAAGTGATTACAAGTGAGTGAGGAGGCGGTGAATCTCATCAAGTTTACCCGTCAGTATCTTGGAGCTTGTTAAATTTGCCATCGCTTATCTTATCAGACCTGAGGAAGTGCTTTTGCTCGGTGGGTGAGTGTAGAGAGAGCCTGGAGACATTCGCCGAGGAAATTTGCAAACTGTCGACGTGGGTATGCGAGTCGCTGGCTGAAGCGCTGGGTTTGAGTCGGGATGCCTTTATCAAGCAGCTCGTCGGGGGTGTACATCAGCAAGTTGTCGCTTGCTCGTATCCTGTACCAGAAAAGCAGCCCCAGGTCACCCCAAGCTCGATCGGATTCGGTGCTCATTCGGATCTTCCTGTCTTCAACGTTGTCGTGGAGGATGAGAGTGGTGGGGCACAGGTGTGGCATGACGATCAATGGATGAATAATCGTCCCATTTCTGTGGGTGTCAGTTTCTTCCTCGGTGATCCCATAGAGGTAAGGGCCATAGAAGAAGATAGAAGGACGTCCTCATCATTAGCTCAATTTCAATGTATACCAGCAGTCTTCCCATTTCTACTGAGATTATTTGGCCATTGGCTTCCAAATTCATTTCTGGTGCTCCGCGTCGGAAATGAAATGGATATACGCGGCGCACATACACCTATTCTGATTTTGTCCACATCCCTTCTCGTTGGACGGAAGTTGTGCTCTTGCAGCCCCTTTTGGACTTCACGGGGTCAGGTTCTGTTTCGCTTACTTGTGAAGGTCTTCCTCCACCGATGTACCCGTACATTTGCCAATGGGGCGTCAATCTGCTCAAAACTCCCTTTGTCCGTAGTAGACGAGGACTACAGCTTTGACTTGGTATTGACTGTTGGACCGACTGGATGACAGTGCATGAGCAACGGGATCTACCACTCGATGATTCACCGAATAATTGCGCCGAGTAACAACAGCAGGTTTTCGTGCGTGACCACATTCGAGCCTGTGGATAAGGACGCAACTGTGATACAGCCGGTGCCAGAGCTTGTGGCAAGGTCGGGCCAGCCTGCAAAATACGTTGCTTACAACTTCGGCGGCCGTGCCAAATCAATTATGTTTCAGCGATTCGATCCGGAGATTATGACCAAGCGGTTTATGGTCACAGATTTCTCAGTCATCGATCCCTTGCGGAATTTTTCTTACAGAGACGGTGTCTTTCATATCGGAAGCCGGCCACTTGGAAGTGCCACAGAGGGCTATTGATGGAGAGCACCAAGAGGCTCGTCCCAAACATTGTGTACATACTACCTTATTCACTATTCCCTTATTTCATAATCGTTAAGCTCCCAGTGACGGGTCTGATGGTAATTATGAATCAATGACGGGTAAATGAATTGAATAATAGAATCTCAGGTTGTCGATGATTTCGGTGTGATCACTGCTTGTGATCAACCTTTTACCTTCATGTATATTTAGGGCTTGTTTGCTCTGACGATGTTTTCACTGATCGAGGATCAGAAGTTTACGGTGAACAGCCCTCCATTATCGGACGAAAAATCTGAATGTTTATGAAGAAAATGGCCTCGCCCGGGGATCTAGCCATCGGAGGTTTGCCTGTCCAAGGATGTGAACAACGAAAATAGACAGTAAAATGGACATTCTTTCTGTTAGCAGAGGAGAGGAATAATATATATCAGTTGTGGATGGTAATCTGTTTATTTGGAGATGATTACATACTAGGACAAGGACTGAGGACTTTGTCAACTCAAGTACAGAATCTCAATGTTGACCCTTTAAACTGTGCCGTTGGTCCCTTAGTCCGCACCCCCTTGGATCCTGAGCAGCTAGACTTCATAATCGAGATATTACATCTCCATACAACAGCGAACCTCCATACCAGTGAACCTCCATCCTCGCTAAACAGCGTGTATCATATGGTCTTTCTCACGCTGCACGTCGGTCTTGAGAAGCTTCTGCGTGGAGCCAATTTTGACGTTCCACCATTATCCAAGCAATACTGCTGGAACGACACTAACAATACTATCAGAAAAAACAGGAAATTATGGCATGTCTTACCCAGGATCTGTCTAAACGTTTGTCGGACAATGATCTTGCAAACAGAGAAAGGCTAACCTACAATGTAATAATTGTTTAAATTATTGTAGTAAAAGTAAAGATTGAAACTCCATGCCTCTTGTACTTTATTTGTGTATGCTCTGTATGTCTTACCGATGTGAAACATTTCGGGCTCAGAGTCGGACATGTGACTGAATTTAGCGAAAAAATAAACTCTTTGGGATAGCATCGAGGGTAAAAAAAAGTGTAAAGTAAACGCAGTCGTGGGGTTAAAAGAATGTATTGACTACAGTTACAATCGAAATTCATCTGGCCCTTAGCGCCTCTACTTTTTCACTCATATGTCCACTACATCTACTCTCACTCCCGACTAAAATATTATTTAATCCAATCGTGTAACAAGGAAGAAGCTTGTGAAAATCTTCCACTTGTGAGACCTTCAGATCTAATAAATATACCAGCATGTAACGTGAAGACAAGACCAACATCTGACACTCAAAGTAAAGCCTTGAGAATACTACCGCTCAGCTGATTCATATCTCCAACGAAAGCATTCCTGAGAAGAAAAAAATATCGAAGAGTGTGAACTTTTATCTCCTGAAATCCAGGTATTTAGTCCCCCATGGAGGAGCCCTGAGGTCTGCACACGCTTTTGCAACTATAAACAAGCTATGCTCGGATTGGTAAGATATAAATTAACCTTAAACACTGATAAGATGAAATCTTGTAACACATGATTCTTGACAAACAAAATATGACAGTTGATATCCGTTTGCTCATTTCAGAATGTCAGTTGCAACACTAAAATGTAACATTTGAGATTTGCATCGTGAAATGAGATTCAAGTCACTCAGCACTATGTTCTCTAACACTATCTCCTTCTGCTAACACATAGAGACAATTCTGTGAACTCCCAAGCCGATTTGAAAGCTTCAAACTTCTGCAGAGAAAATGTTTCGACAAACATCTGCCACTTGAAGTTCTGTAAAACACCACATGTAAGAATTCTCCACTGTTGAGCTTCTCACTGATAAAGTGAAACTTGAGTCTCGGAATATTTTGTGCTTTGAACTATTAGCAAGACTAATCGCACTCACATTCTTAAAGAAAATTTGTTGTTGGTTCTCTTGCTTAAATTCTAGCTCATCTGAAAAACGTCAATACAGGCAACCTCACGTACTACCTCATGACGTGCCTAAGATCGTCACAATCCGAGAGGAAAAGTGCCTCAGATGGATAGTCAGCTCTCCAAAGAGATTTATCTGCTCTCCAAGATACAAAGCCTGCCGAAGACTTTTGATCAACTCGATCATCTGCCCAGGATACATCTGCATAACGAAACAGCATTGGGACTTCAACATCTTTATGAGCAGTCTGCTTGTACATATGAATAAAATCCAGGTTACATTTGATTACCTCAAAATTTGTTGTGCAGCTAATAAGTGAGAAATACAAGGATGTGCTTGAATGGACACACCTGAAGGAGCATGTGAGATAACTGGTCTAGTGCTAGTCATACAAATAAAACGACCTACCAGTTGGTTGTAAAGTTGTTTTAAAGTGCATTAATTCTGTGCTCATAGACTTCAAGGAGTAAAATGTCGGAGTAGAACCTTTCTACTCCCAAATCCATCAAGTTTCTGAACAGTTGGGAGTAGAAAGTATTGTGGAATCCTGCATGAGACTAGTATTGGAGGCACAACAAAAATTTTCGACGCATGCCCATGCAGTCTTTCAAGGTCAAAAGCCATGCCCATGCCCCACGCATGCCCGTATTACAATACGTGCATTTGATATATAAAAAATATATACTTCTATGGAAATAGAGCACTCTTAAAAGTAAAAACAATCAACACGACAATGAGAGCTTCAACCCAGAACTGACTATAGTAGGCTCGAAGTGTTTATCTAAGGAATCAAAGCAAGAGAGAACATGTGCTTATGTTACCTGCAAAAGAGAGAACACGTGCTTATGTTACCTGCAAAACAAAAGGGCCAGGGCATGGAGGGAGTGCATGGAAGCAGTAAATACTACAGCACCAGCCATATTCATATCAGTAATCAAAAATAATTTTTTGCACATACTTGGAAAATCCTTGAGTCACAATAGCAATTTCAATACAACAAGCATTATTTCCCATTTATTTCTTGACTTACCATACAGTCTATAACTCTAGAATATACGTATAACTTTATTCGTACATGCAGGCATGCCCCGTATGGAAAATGCGAATGAGTCATGACTTCTTGAGTTTGTGCCTCCAACACTACATGAGACACCTTCAGTAGATATCTTATGGAGGACTGCATAAGGACCAAGAAGAGAACATTTTTTTCTCCACGATCTTCTTATTCTGCACAAATACTCCAACTTGTGTCCAAAATCATTTAACTTCAAGACAGATGCTTATCTTACCAAACTTTTTCATATCAAAGCTTGAATATAGAACTATTCTGACCTCCTCATTCTTCTCTTCATAATTACACGCGGGGAAATCAACAACCTAGAACACCATAGTACTTGAGTAGAGGAATCAATCTCTCAACTCTGGGCATATCCAAAACCTCAATGTGAAAAAATAGTGTCCATTTAGTTGAATCAAGCTTGTCTCAAACCATACATTGAGTTCTTAAGTTTGCATCCAAGATGATCTCTCACCAGTTTTTGAATTCCTTGTTGCTTCATAATCACTATTGCGTCTAGCATATCATAAGGTATGGCATTATTAACATCCATATGTTGTATCTTCTTACAAGACTCACTCGTCAAACATGCAATCATTCTCACAATTGCCATCTTGTTCAAGAGCATAATGAGTTGTCATAATATTTTCCCTTTTCCTCCATTTTAAAGTGACATTGAGCTATCGATCTTGCCTTGTATTCGTGCAAATTTACATCCGAGAAGTAGAACTTCAAATTTCATTTCGTCAGTTCGATATAAATCGGCAAAGCTTGCTGAGAATGTACACAAGATATACATCTTAGCTTGATCATACATCTACTCCTACTCCTACTCCTCATCAGAGTCACCTCATCAAGATCGTAGTTGTTTAATTGGAGTCAAATTTATGTTTTTCGTATGGAATTGTAGTTGCACATTCAACTATGAAGAAAAACTTGCTTATCTCTTATTCGTTACTCCTTCTCACAACTTGAGTCTTTATAAACCAATACACATTAGTATTTCTGCTATGTTCAGTTTGCATTCCACTTGACTTGTTGGACTCTTGAAATCTGATGTTCTTGCTTGAAACTTGCAAATTTGCAGCTGTCCACCTTGCAAATTTCAACAAATTACTTGTAGGCATTTTCACCTCCACCACATCCACAGATTTTATAAGCTTCTAGAATTTTTGACAAGTGTCTTCACTCCATCTCTCCCCACGAGAACGGCTACTTCTGCCGATCTTTGGACTGTCATTAAATGATGCAAGATACACTTCTTCACAATCAAACCTTCAAAACATCTTCTTGTTTTTCATATAACTTCGTAGAGTACAACAAATATTTCAGATTTCATCTCCAAGAACTACATCCACACATAGTGTCTAAAGAGCAAAATCAACAACCAACAAATATAATCTGTAATTCACAAATTTAAGCAATTTGTTGGAAAACAAATGAGTTGATTGCAAGCATGTGTTGATTCTCCTCAACACATACTTCACACTTCAAATGACATACATCTAAAACAAGCTCAACATGATTATAGGAATTTGCATCATCATATATACACATATTTGAACTTTTCATTCGTTCTCAAGTGCACTCAACAAGACCTTTAGCACCAAAGAGTTTAAATTAACTTTCTTAATGCCACTAAATTGAGCTAATATAAAAAATTAAGACTACCAACTAATATAATCATATCTGCATATACACAATGGTGGACAACCATGGACCTCATGGATTTGAGGATTTCTACTAATGAAAACTCCTAACACGAGGTAAAGTGAGCCGGATCAATAGTTTTGAATTCGACAATTCTTGCCATAAATGCGCCACTAACGTGATCGGATAATGATTACTCTACTATATTTTTCATGTCATTGATCTTTACCTCTTAGCTTTTGATTTTTCATGTCTTGTCCCACTACTTTTAATTGAATATGCACGTAATACTCTATCGACCAGTTGGAGCAAGATCCTCAACGATGCAAGCAGATTTATGTCATTTATGTCCAAAGATAGGGAAACCATCCATCGAGCTAACATCAAATTAGATACTTTCTAGCCTATATTAGAGTACATAGCCACTTTTTTGAATAACATATAGAAACGCTTTAACTATGCTTGGTTCAAAATTCATCCTTCAATGAACTAAAATACCATTAGAGATGAATTGTTTTGTTTTTTTAATTTTTTATTTGCCAAAGATATAAAGCCTATAAAGCTTTTGTTACTAGTGAAGTCAATGTATATAAGAATATCTTTGAAATTGATTGTAATCTGGTGAAACATATTTGCACGAGCATTGCGGATTCCACTCATTTTTTGTGTATGCATTTTTGAAAAAATTTATCACAACACCAACAGTTCATAGCAATTTCATTTCATCAAAAAAGTGAAGAGTTCATCTATACTAAAGTGATTTGTTTGAAAGTGTTCAAATAATTAGCGTGATTATTTCTTATCAAGAATTTTTGTTTTGAGTATATGACAAATTTCAAAAATTTGAGATTATAAGATTCATTCTCAATCTTGTTTTTCTTATCTGCAAGCATTACAATAGATACGTAAATGTCTACCTCAACAATGTTACTCAAAATGGATAAATGGCATCATCTAATATCTAAATAAAGTTCTTGAATGCTAACAAGTTCATTGTCAAAAATTGCATAGTGAAAACTTTAAAAGTGATTCTTCTATTAGTTGATGGAGAAAGAACATGTTGAGCCAATGAAAATCAAAATGTTCCTTGTTGTGTGATATGTTGACGGCAAAGTATACATTCGAAAAGGATTTTTTGACATTGTACATGTTATTTAGTCAAATTTTCAAAGTTTAAGATCATTTTCACACTTCACTATGCTTTTACTTCTC